TATATATATATACTCAATGGAAAAGTGCAAAAAAGTGCTTCTGTGTATTTTTTTCCTAGCGTCACATTGAGAGATTTGACTAATGAATTACATGGTGCATGCTGTTATGTTAAATTAGAGGCTGCAGGTGGATGAATAAATCGCTGCTGCTCGATGATATCAGGTGGTTATAATCATCTCAGAAGGAAAGGGTGTAATAATTGTTCCAGCTGTTGAGGCTCAGACATTTACTGAGAGCTTCTTGTAAAATTCAACGTTGTACTTAATATTAATGGAGCTAAATGCAGAAGTAAACATGTTTTTTTTTTTTCTCTTCGGAACATGCATATTCATAGACGAATCACTTGCGCCTGTTTATGTGCTCAAAGCGTTGTTTTTGTTGGTGTAAAACATGAGCTGCAGCAGTACAGCACGCATTTGTATTTCACACTTCATTTTCAGTGTTTTGAAAGGCTTTATTTGGGTGGTATCTTTCCTGCAGAGCGCCCAGCTGAGCCAGATTGTAAACAGTCTCAGCTTTTCGCCACTCTCTAAACAAGACACGGCGTGGTGGGGGAGGAAAACCTTCACCAGGTGTGTAACATTCAGGTTTTTTTTTATGTTTGTTAGTTTCTCATCTTTGTTTGGTAACTGGTCATGTATTTGATGATGTTTCTTCATATAATAAAATCCAGAAAWACTGCACAATTCTCTCCATCTGGCTTGATGTGACTAATCCCTTTGTGTCTTGCTGCCTTTTTAAGTTTGTGAAGATAAAAGGTGCATAATGTATAAAAGCTATCCCTGTTGTTCATTCATGTACAAGCAGGTATCAGTAGACACTGTAACAATTGTTTTTTGTTGTTGTTATTGTGAGAAAGATCTAAAAAAACCTTAAAGAACAGTGTTTATTTTTAGTTRCTGAATCCTAACCCTGACATATTCCTGCCCTCGTCTGATCTTGTCCCTGCAGCGGTTTGGGAGGAGGTGATGGTTTTCTGCCTGGGAGCTCCAGGAGGAGGGGAATGGGGACCGGAAAGCTCTTCAAAGCTGATTTATCATGTGTGTGTGCCCGCACTCGACCCCTGGTTTCCTACCACAAGCGCAGATTGTTTAAGTTCAAGTCCTCCAATCCTGCTAGTTTATCGGTATGTTTCATGTTAGCTTCTGCTTTTTTCATTTCAGTTTGTAGTCAACTGCATGTGATAGATACTAAACCTGRACTGCTTATAAAGGATATCCGTTACTGGTTTAATATATTAAATAATGTAATAGATTATTATCATGAGCTAGATTTACTTATCATGTTTTGTTTATATGTTAATAAACTTCATATTTAAAGTGCTCTATAAATATCACATCTTTTTGTTTATTCTTGTTCTCCAGAAATCAAGAAAGTCAACTTCGACAGCGTCCTCATCTTTCTCATCATCATCGTGTGGCTTTTGTAATCCTGAAACCTTGTGTTCTAATCCTGACTGCAGCTCCACCTCCAGAACTCCTACTTTGGTGCCTTTTAGCTCCGGTAGGCTTGTCATGTTTTATTTTAGTAGGTTTGTTGTCCTTAGAGAACTTGTCAGTAAAAGCTTCATAAAACTGAAGTATTTTCAGTGTTTGTCGTACAAATGGATGTTCTCTCCTCCCAGACTTTCCCACGTGCCATCATTTACAGAGACCCATGGCTCGAGAAGTATGGCTTCAAAAGCCTTTAGTTCTCAGCTCTGAGCTGGCCAGTCCTGCAAACTACAGGAGAAACAGCTCCACACCACGACACAACCGTAAGATTTATCTGGATTTACAAGATCTTTTTACGTCCTGATGCATCTCAGTAATCCAAAAAATCAAAAAGAAAAAAATTATATAGGTCTTCTGGACGGGTTCTTCTCTAATGAAACGTTTCGTCTCTCCTCCAAGAGACTTCTTCAGTCTGAGAGTTTCAGGCAAAATTC